TTCGCTCGAGCGAGCATCGCGATTCAGTTTACTATAAATATGCGTTTCAGTCCAAATCTAGGGTAACGCCTCCAGATTTTCTTCTTGGATATTAGGGTTTATATCTGGGGCTACTTTGCTAGTTTTCTTTGATGTTTTGATTGAGTATTCAACTAATGGTTTGAAAAGAATACATCAAAGGATTGTGTGTTTCGTTTAATACGAAAGAGAGAGTTGTTCTTCGGTGTGTTCCGAGGAATTCGAGTGTAACGCCCCAAAATAATACCAACATATCTATTACATCAACCCACTTCCAAAATAAAATAATAACCATGTTCCTTTACATAATTCCAAATGTTGTACAAAAAGTAATCTCACATGCGATTATACATTCATTGGCAAGCTAGTGCATGAATCTATAGCATGTAAAATCGTTAAATCAAAATGAATAAGGCCCTCAAGGGCTTACAAGTTCCAAGGCAATAGCTCGGTTACACAAAATGATCTCTCGGACCCATACATATTAGCCCTTGGCTTTACAACAATTTCACAACAAAATAAAGAGTAATCTACTCTTCACAAGAACATATCCACACCCTCAATTTGGCAGGATCACCATATCTTTACCTGCAGCAAAACCCATAGGGGTGAGCATAAAGCCCAGTAGAGAATTCTTACAAAGTATATACAGTTATGCCAATTCCTTTAACATTAAAAATGCATATGTGATGCCAATAATGAAGGAAAATTTCATTTCAATGCACTATTTAGAAATCATCATGTTCTTCATAATATTTTCCAATCTCATCAATTTCACAATTTCCAATATTTAGATCAATAGGGGCGGTAAATATGACATTGGTAATCCCTAGGTTGGCGTCTGCAACTAGGCTCTACGAGCTCTACCAATACCCCACTTTACCGGTTGCTAACCGGGAAGGAAGTGGTACCTCCTCCGCGTGTGTTTTCGGTCTTTCACCCCGGACACTCAGGCCAACCTATCAATCTCATCTACATCGCCTAACCAGACTTACTAACGTATTTACCCCTTTAACATTTCCATAGTTCTCATTACAATTAATCTTTCTCAATGTAAACGTTTTTCCAACTCATGTCAAGATGTACAATAACAATAATAAAGCAATTGAGAATGTGATGCAAATATCTACTAACTCATAGCATTTCTCTATTTCAAAATGTCTCTATAAAAATATCCACAACCACCTTCACATTTCCTCCTTTCAATGTTCCTTCACAAAACAACCATATGTCATTAACACATATTTACATTTTCTCATTTCACAAGTCTCAACAATCTAGTCCCTTTAAGATTACATATGATGTTTTCAAATATTAATCTCCCATGATTACAATTCTCACAACCCATGGTGCACAACAATTTGCCATTCATAACAATACATGTTCAAGTGTTAGTGAATATATTAAAATGACATCTCATTTCTCAAATATCAATTAAATTGTCATTTTGCTAAACATTTGATGAAACTTACCCTCATTCATCCCCTTGACACAAGAAAACATTTGCTTTATTCAATGCTTATATTTGGTTTAGTATTTTTCTACTGGGCTGTGGCTCACCCTTTATGGGAACATCATTTTCAGGTTCAGGTGATAAGCTACCTCCAAGGACTTAGCTTGGGAGGATTTGGCTTTGGATTTTGAAGACTAGTTAATTGTTTTTTTTTTATTGATAGTACATGTAAACATTCAAGCCTAGGGCTTTACTTGTATTTGAGTTAGAACTCATATTTTTGTGTCCAAGTGTTGGCTTGGAAAGATGTTAGCCCGTAGGGCATTTAATTTGATGTTACATGTAATGCTTTTATTTAGTAATACTCTAATGAATGAATTAATGAATTGTTTTCTTTAAATATTGCATGTCAATGATATATTTAATGGGTTTATTTTGAGGGCGTTACACAATTGATGTAATTTTATTACAAAATTTTGTAACATCAACTACACAATGCATAATTTAGTCACAAATTGGCGTAACAAAAAATTGTCACAAAATCACAAATTTTTGTTATATGAATCACAAAATTTTAGACATTTTATTACGTTTATTTGTGGCCAGATTATGCATTTTGTGATTGATGTTACGAAATTTTGTGATAAAATTATGTCAATTATCATAAGGTGTATATAGTATGTACCACTAAAGAGGTGCACACCCTAGGCTTTCTCTATTTGTATATATAATATTGATAATTAGCTTAACGGGAATAATTATAAATCCGTTAAAGTATTACAATTAATATATCGAATTATATTAAAAGATTAGATTATTATTTACATTTACAATATATGATTTGCATAAAGAAAATGTTTTTAAAACCAAAATTGAGAAAGTCTTACCTAAGATGGACTAAAAATATTTGAATAAGCTATAATATCAATTGAAAATGAATGTGTTAAAAAACTTGAATACAAAAACTTAATTAGTAATTTTATATCTCAAAAAGCAAGAAAAAAAAAAAAAAGAAACAGTTTTAAATAATACATGTAGAACATAAAAAGATGAGTTGGGAAGTTTCTTTTATACCATACTTAGTTTTTAAGTTTGAATATGCACTATACATGTATTATGTTTTTGGGTTACTTTTTCTAAATACATAATTTTTGTTAAGTTCCATATAAAAATTATATTACGAAATAAATAAAAATTTTATTCTGGTGCAAGTTCAACTTGATAGAGTAGATGTGAATTTCCACCATTCATGAGCCAGCAAGTAAGAGCAGTTTAGATATTCTTACACCTCCTTTGAGAACTTAGTTTTTTTAGTGGATTTTTAACTTTTTGTATGAGGTGAAAAAAGGATGGATTTAGGAAAGATTTTTAATTGAATAAATAGTTGTGATGAGAACAAAAAAAGAACTAATTAACTGACGTGTACGATTTAATTCTTTTGTTATTGGGGTTGAATTTTTGCCTTTTTGGTGACAACTTCTTAATAACACAATAAACTATGAACAACAAAAATTAAAAAATTAAAAAATTAAAAAAAAATAATGAGAGAAAGGAAAATTTTGGTTCTAATTTTCTAAATTCATTTTTCTGAAAATTGATTTTTTTTATTTATATTTTTTTATGTTTTTAGTAAATTTTTTTAATATTTTAATCAAAATTTTTACTTTTTAGATGCACCTAATCTCGATATACCTAAAATATAAAATATTTGTAAAAAAATATTTTAAAACATCAATAAATACACAATAATACGAAAAACGTATTGAATTTTCATATATTTTTTGTATTTTTGGCATTTGGTGAATTTTTTTAAAAAAAAATCACAAATATTATATATTTTAATTTTATTTATATTAAGTGCATCTAAAAAGTAAAAAAAAAATTCTTAAAATATTAAAAAAATTAAATAAAAACAAAAAATAAAAAAGAAAAAAAAATTCAATTTTCAAAAAATTAAATCTAGAAAATTGGAACCAAATAAGGTGATTAGTAATCCCATTTTAACCTTTGTATTATTTTAGTCCTTATCATTTTAATTAACTTAATTTGGATCATTAATCTTAAATTTTGTGTTTATTTATTTTAATTGATAATATCAATTAGGGATTTTGAAAGAAAACGGTCACCAAATTTGTTTAGGTTAATTCCCTAAGTTGAACAATTTATAATTTTTTTTTTTTATAAAAGGATGACACGTGGTGCTCATGTGTGCATTTTTTATAAAAAAAAAATACTAAAAATTGAAATGAATTAAATCAAATTAAGAAAAAATTATAAATTTTGGATTAAAATCAAGCTAATCGAAATTACAGAGAACAAAATAGTACAATGACCAAAGAATAAGAATTATTGGTGTAATTTGTTATAAAAAAAAAAAAGAAAAAAAAAGAAAGGGTCTCGAGCCTTTGGCTCTATAAATACATATATTTGGCTCTCCATTAATGTATACAAGTTTATCAGCTCCATTTCTCATCATAATAATATTCTGTTTTTGACACCAAATGGAGCAAACAAATTCAAATTTTCTCAGTTGTCTACTTAGTGCATCTGTACTTTGTTTCATTTTCTTTTTCATGAACTCTCTTGAACTGATTACCACTGCCAAGGGCAATCCCAGTTTAGTTCTCACCAACGAGACAGACCATCAGGCACTGCTTGCAATCAAGGATTTGATACAAGGAGATCCTCTGGGTGCCTTAAGCTCATGGAATCATTCAATTCACTTCTGCAATTGGCAAGGAGTCTCATGCGGTCGTCGACATCAACGTGTGACACTCCTAAACTTGTCATCTCTCGCAGTGGTGGGCTCTGTATCTCCAAATTGGGAACCTCACCTTCCTCAGGACGATTGATCTAGGTAACAACAGCTTTCATGGCGAAATCCCACAAGAACTTGGCAAGTTGTTTCGTCTGCAGTACCTTCTGCTTTTGAATAACTCTTTCCAAGGTGAATTTCCTGCCAATTTGACTCATTGTTCACACTTGAGAGTTATCCTTGTGCATTATAACAATCTAAGAGGTAAAATTCCTACGGAGCTGGGTTCTTTGTCCAATCTCTCCTTCTTGAATCTTGCAGTCAATCATCTCACTGGAACTATCCCACTTTCAATTGGGAACCTTTCCAATCTACGTGTGCTTTGTCCTTCGTATAATAATCTAGAGGGAAGCATTCCCACCCAACTTGGGCAGCTTTCCAAGTTGGAGGCTCTTCAGCTGACGGCAAACAATTTGTCCGGTATGGTTCATACTTCGCTTTACAACATCTCATCAATCTATTTCTTCTCTATCGTTGCCAACCAATTGCATGGAATTCTACCACTAGATTTAGGCTTGACCCTTCCGAATTTGCAAGAATTTTATGTTTTTTCAAATCAATTCTATGGCCAAATTCCATCGTCAATAGCCAATGCTACGAGACTTGTGCAAATTGATTTTGGCAGCAATTCGTTTACTGGGCCCATGCCTATGAATCTGGGAACCCTGGATGCTTTAGAAGATTTAGCTACTTCTGGCAATTCACTTGGAACAAACCAAGGCAATGAATTAATGAGCTTCCTCACTTCTTTATCCAGTTGTTCCAATCTACGAATACTAGATTTGGCTACGAATCATTTTAAAGGTTTGTTGCCCCATTCTATTGCAAATCTCTCCACCAAGATCACTTGGTTTGCTCTAGAAGACAACTATATATCTGGAAACATACCTTTTGGTATTGGGAACCTTGTAAATTTGCGATACCTCTTTCTAAGTCAGAATTTGCTGACAGGTAGTATTCCAAATTCCATTGGAAAACTCTCCATGTTGGAAAAGCTCTTGGTTCAATACAATAACATTTCTAGAGAGATTCCATCATCTATTAGAAACCTGAGTAGGTTTGGTGCACTTGACCTATCAACAAATATGATTGAGGGAAGCATTTCAATTTCTTTAGGCAATTGTACCAATCTACAACAAATTTATCTTGATTACAATCATCTCACAGGAGCAATACCTTATCAAATCTTTGGTTTGGCTTCCCTCTTTAATTTATCCTTGAGTCAAAATTACTTAACAGGACTACTTCCACAAGAAGTAGGTAACTTCAAAAATCTGGGTGGACTATATGTATCAAAGAATAAACTATTTGGAGAAATCCCCACCACTCTCGGCAATTGTGAGGTTTTAGAATTCCTCTACATCGATGGTAACCTTTTCGAAGGTACAATTCCAACGGCCTTTAGACAATTGAAAGGTATTCAAGAACTAGATGTTTCTAGGAACAACTTGTCCGGACAGATTCCAAGGTTTCTCGGGGAATTTTGGTTCTTTCAATATCTCAATCTTTCCTACAATATGTTTGATGGTGAAGTTCCGAATGGAGGAGTTTCACAAACATTAGTGCCTTCTCAATTGTTGGAAATAGTAAGCTATGCGGAGGAATTAAACTATTGCAATTGCCTGCATGCCCGATGGAAGCCTTAAATGAAAGGAAACGACCTTCCAACCATAGAGTAATAGTTCTAGTAGTTACTCTCACTATTGTTGTATTATCATTGTGCATTCTAGCTATTCTTTACTGGAACAGAAGGTCAAGACAACAAGTCAATTTAGCCTCACTCTTGCAAAACCAATATCCACAACTCTCTTATGGAGAACTTTTTCAAGCAACCAATGGGTTCTCTCCATCCAACTTAATTGGTGAGGGAGGATATGGTTCTGTTTATAAAGGGATTCTCAACTCCGATGAACAAATTATTGCTGTGAAGGTGCTCAAACTACACAAACGTGGAGCGAACAAGAGTTTTGTTACAGAATGTGAAGCATTGAAGAACATTCGCCATTGAAATCTTGTCAAGATAATTACAGCTTGCTCAAGCATTGATTTTAAAGGCAACGACTTCAAGGCTTTGGTCTTCAAGTTCATGGAAAATGGAAGCTTAGAAAATTGGGTACACCCAAGTCTTTAGAGCAACATGAACCTAAGAACTTGAACTTTGTTCAAAGGCTAAACATTGCCATTGATGTGGCATGTGCATTGGATTATCTTCATCATCATTGTGAAATGGCTTTTATTCATTGTGATTTAAAGCCAAGTAATATTCTTCTTGACGGTGATTTGTGTGCCCATGTTAGTGATTTTGGCTTGGCAAAGATTTTTTCAGCAACCAATGGAATTTCTATTCATCAGCAATCAAGTTCAATTGGGATCAGAGGAACAATTGGCTATGTTACCCCAGGTAATTGTTTATTGCTTCTTACATTTAAATTGAGTAAGAAATATTATTTAGTTACAATATATTATTATCTTGCGGTGAACTAAAAACCAATTACGAGATTATATAAAAATTAAGCCATGTTTTCGAGATGACTTCCTTGACTTTGCCTTATTGTTTGTATAGCTACCACAACAAATTAAATCAACCATTGTCCTTCCTACCCCTATGGTATTTGAGCATAGATTTTAACCCTTGAGATAATACTAGTTCAACAATCATACCAAAATCTAAAAATTTGGGCATTTTTTTCACCATTTCATATTGCAGAGTATGGTATGGGTGAGGAGGTATCAACGCAAGGTGATATGTACAGTTATGGAGTGTTACTACTAGAAATGTTCACAGGAAAAGGACTAACTAGTAACACGTTTACAAGTAATGTAAACCTCCATAGCTATGTAAAAATGTGCCTTCCAGAGAAGTAATGCAAATCGTTGATCCCCAAATCTTATTGGAAATGGAAGAGGAGCCAAGTAGGAGTATGCAAAGTAGTACAGCCAACATTTCTAAACTAGAGGCTTGCTTGGTACCAGTCTTTCAAATTGGAGTTTCATGTTCTGCTGAAATGTCAACTGAAAGAATGAGTGTGAAAGATGTTCTCAAAGAACTACACAAGATTAGAAATGTATTTCTTGGGGTTAGGGAACAAAGGCATTAGGATGGAAGAAGAAATGATTCTTAACTAAAGCCACATCTGTAGGTTATTTTGATGTTCTAGAATTTTCTTTCCTTCACTTTTGTTCTCCCCCCCTCTTTTCTTTTTTGAATCTGTAATTGTTGAGCTAGAAAAGCCATGAAAGTGGTTGTACTTGTGGCATTGTCATCAAATATTTATAACTAGTCAAGGTTTCTATATGTTTATATGTATGCCTTCTCTATCTAGTTTTGTCATAGTTTCATTTTTTGGCTTATGGTCTCAAGTAAATCTGTTGTACATAATAGAGCTTGGCTCAAACCAAAACACTGATGCCATAAAAGCTAAAATAGAACAACAAAAACAACAAAAGATTTAGCTCATAATATGATGGATTATGAGGTTATCATATTACTCGTATAAATTATTGAGCAACGGAAAAAATGTTTCATTCATGTTGATTTCACTCTCATCATATATTAATCTAAATCTTAATCAATGTATAAAGCTAATGGGAAATACGAATAATCTTTATTATGAGGAAACAAAAATTTACTAGTAGAAAGTGTTGAAAAAATAAAAAACACAATGCTAGCAACAATCTTCTAGTATAATAAAAAATCCCAAATTGCAAATTAATATAACAATAGCAACACAACGAAAACACACAATGCAACTACATTTCATTTTTTCTATGAGTTGATTATTGAAATCATTAGATATCCCTGCTTCAATGTGTTGTTATTTACAATTTGGGGTTAATGATGTATTGGTGAGTGATCATGTATTATAATAAAGGACAAATTGTTAAGCAGATTTAGGCTGCGAAGAATTTCAATTGGAATTGAATATGTAATTTGCTGATTTATTGTTATTATGTTTCCTTTTGCACATCATCCTATGATTTATGAACAAGGGGACAATAGTGTTCAATGCTTATGCAATAATTCATTATCAATTTGGGTTCAATTTGGTCAGTTTTGAGCATGGACCATAGTTTTTAATGTTTTTTATGTGGAGCTTCGGCAAACTACATCAGGCTGACTGAGGAAAATGGTTTCCGGTTTAATCAATGACAATCCCATTGTCTATGAAAAAAAGGAGCACCGAACAAGAACTGCACCGGATGATGTTGACGAGTATGCTGTGGAGCCCATTGACCAACTAGAAATTTTTGATATCCTTTGAGTTTGATTATTACATTTGATGCTCTGTCATATCCACTGTGTTTTGTCAGTTATATATCTCACAAATTGTAGGTTTCTTTGCAAAGCTTGGTGTTGATATTAAAATTCACTTGTATGTAAGTGCATTAGAATTTAGAAAGGAATGTGTAGTTTAGACATGTTGATCAAATCGAACTACATGGGTGAAGTTCCTATTCAGCAAAGTTTTGCTGCTTGTCCATATCTCTTAGACAAAGGGAGTAGAAGCAATTGTAAGGAAGCATGTGCCGCCATGTGTTCAAAACTTTTATGAGTATGTAAAACTTCCATAGAAACTTTTGAATATTAATGACATGTTATAGAAATTGTCTTGAAATGCATCTTAAATTTGATATAAAATTTAATAAATGTGTGGCGACTATCTCACTGCCACTAACATTTGCAGTCAATATGCATTACATTTGATTGTGTGTCTATATACAAAAAGTAAAAGAATGACAATACTTTTTCTGTTAAGGAATTGAAAATTTTGTCAAAGTGGAGGAAAGTACAAAAGGAAGATATAGTGCAATATGCACTGGGTAAAAGAAGGCTCTTTAACAAAAAAAAACAAGCACAAGAAAATAAAAGCTATACATTTGTCAAAGAATTAATGGAGAATTTCTAGGGAAGATGCCACTCTCCTTGGAAGCAAAACTATCATGTTCTTCTCATCAAACAAGTGTATCTTTTTGTTATTGCAACTAGTTATTCTTGCTCTTCATATCGTTTTGTTTTGAACTTATTTATTGAATAAAATTAGATACTAATTCTTAACATCCGAGTATGACAGATATAGTTTCATAGCAAATTATATAAGGGAGCTAAGTAGTTTTGGAAACTCTGTACTTCTCTTAACATTCTTACATCATCTTAGAGACATAAAAGATCCTGAGCATCCCTATTCCTTGGAAGAGCTGAAAGTTATATCAGAAGATGCAATTGAAGTAGATGACAAGCATAACTGTGTGAGGTAGAGACAAATCCTCCTGTATTGGTGGAATTTTCAGTTCTTATAAATTAAATATGGTTTTTTTTTTTAATTCAGGGTGACATTCACTCCAACAGTTGAACATTGCAGTATGGCAACGGTGATTGGCCTTTGCTTGCAAGTGAAACTCAAGTGCAGCCTGCCTATGCGGTATAAGGTATGAGCTTTTGTTTTGTGATGGTACCTCTTTGGTTACAAATTACATATTCTGTATGTTGAAATTGAATGTATAAAGAGAAATAGAGAATTGTATTATTGATGTAATATTGATTGATATCTTGATATGTTACAATGATTCCTATATATAGAAGAGGGTGAGTGTGTAGTAGGTAAGGAGTAGGTGAAGTGGAGGTGGTAGTGGTGTAGTGGGTTAGGTTTAGTGGAGTAGGTGAGATGGTAGTGGTGTAGTGGGTTAGGTTTAGTGGAGTAGGTGAGATGGTAGTGGTGTAGTGGGTTAGGTTTAGTGGAGTAGGTGAGATGGTAGTGGTGTAGTGGGTTAGGTTTAGTGGAGTAGGTGAGATGGTAGTGGTGTAGTGGGTTAGGTTTAGTGGAGTAGGTGAGATGGTAGTGGTGTAGTGGGTTAGGTTTAGTGGAGTAGGTGAGATGGTAGTGGTGTAGTGGGTTAGGTTTAGTGGAGTAGGTGAGATGGTAGTGGTGTAGTGGGTTAGGTTTAGTGGAGTAGGTGAGATGGTAGTGGTGTAGTGGGTTAGGTTTAGTGGAGTAGGTGAGATGGTAGTGGTGTAGTGGGTTAGGTTTAGTGGAGTAGGTGAGATGGTAGTGGTGTAGTGGGTTAGGTTTAGTGGAGTAGGTGAGATGGTAGTGGTGTAGTGGGTTAGGTTTAGTGGAGTAGGTGAGATGGTAGTGGTGTAGTGGGTTAGGTTTAGTGGAGTAGGTGAGATGGTAGTGGTGTAGTGGGTTAGGTTTAGTGGAGTAGGTGAGATGGTAGTGGTGTAGTGGGTTAGGTTTAGTGGAGTAGGTGAGATGGTAGTGGTGTAGTGGGTTAGGTTTAGTGGAGTAGGTGAGATGGTAGTGGTGTAGTGGGTTAGGTTTAGTGGAGTAGGTGAGATGGTAGTGGTGTAGTGGGTTAGGTTTAGTGGAGTAGGTGAGATGGTAGTGGTGTAGTGGGTTAGGTTTAGTGGAGTAGGTGAGATGGTAGTGGTGTAGTGGGTTAGGTTTAGTGGAGTAGGTGAGATGGTAGTGGTGTAGTGGGTTAGGTTTAGTGGAGTAGGTGAGATGGTAGTGGTGTAGTGGGTTAGGTTTAGTGGAGTAGGTGAGATGGTAGTGGTGTAGTGGGTTAGGTTTAGTGGAGTAGGTGAGATGGTAGTGGTGTAGTGGGTTAGGTTTAGTGGAGTAGGTGAGATGGTAGTGGTGTAGTGGGTTAGGTTTAGTGGAGTAGGTGAGATGGTAGTGGTGTAGTGGGTTAGGTTTAGTGGAGTAGGTGAGATGGTAGTGGTGTAGTGGGTTAGGTTTAGTGGAGTAGGTGAGATGGTAGTGGTGTAGTGGGTTAGGTTTAGTGGAGTAGGTGAGATGGTAGTGGTGTAGTGGGTTAGGTTTAGTGGAGTAGGTGAGATGGTAGTGGTGTAGTGGGTTAGGTTTAGTGGAGTAGGTGAGATGGTAGTGGTGTAGTGGGTTAGGTTTAGTGGAGTAGGTGAGATGGTAGTGGTGTAGTGGGTTAGGTTTAGTGGAGTAGGTGAGATGGTAGTGGTGTAGTGGGTTAGGTTTAGTGGAGTAGGTGAGATGGTAGTGGTGTAGTGGGTTAGGTTTAGTGGAGTAGGTGAGATGGTAGTGGTGTAGTGGGTTAGGTTTAGTGGAGTAGGTGAGATGGTAGTGGTGTAGTGGGTTAGGTTTAGTGGAGTAGGTGAGATGGTAGTGGTGTAGTGGGTTAGGTTTAGTGGAGTAGGTGAGATGGTAGTGGTGTAGTGGGTTAGGTTTAGTGGAGTAGGTGAGATGGTAGTGGTGTAGTGGGTTAGGTTTAGTGGAGTAGGTGAGATGGTAGTGGTGTAGTGGGTTAGGTTTAGTGGAGTAGGTGAGATGGTAGTGGTGTAGTGGGTTAGGTTTAGTGGAGTAGGTGAGATGGTAGTGGTGTAGTGGGTTAGGTTTAGTGGAGTAGGTGAGATGGTAGTGGTGTAGTGGGTTAGGTTTAGTGGAGTAGGTGAGATGGTAGTGGTGTAGTGGGTTAGGTTTAGTGGAGTAGGTGAGATGGTAGTGGTGTAGTGGGTTAGGTTTAGTGGAGTAGGTGAGATGGTAGTGGTGTAGTGGGTTAGGTTTAGTGGAGTAGGTGAGATGGTAGTGGTGTAGTGGGTTAGGTTTAGTGGAGTAGGTGAGATGGTAGTGGTGTAGTGGGTTAGGTTTAGTGGAGTAGGTGAGATGGTAGTGGTGTAGTGGGTTAGGTTTAGTGGAGTAGGTGAGATGGTAGTGGTGTAGTGGGTTAGGTTTAGTGGAGTAGGTGAGATGGTAGTGGTGTAGTGGGTTAGGTTTAGTGGAGTAGGTGAGATGGTAGTGGTGTAGTGGGTTAGGTTTAGTGGAGTAGGTGAGATGGTAGTGGTGTAGTGGGTTAGGTTTAGTGGAGTAGGTGAGATGGTAGTGGTGTAGTGGGTTAGGTTTAGTGGAGTAGGTGAGATGGTAGTGGTGTAGTGGGTTAGGTTTAGTGGAGTAGGTGAGATGGTAGTGGTGTAGTGGGTTAGGTTTAGTGGAGTAGGTGAGATGGTAGTGGTGTAGTGGGTTAGGTTTAGTGGAGTAGGTGAGATGGTAGTGGTGTAGTGGGTTAGGTTTAGTGGAGTAGGTGAGATGGTAGTGGTGTAGTGGGTTAGGTTTAGTGGAGTAGGTGAGATGGTAGTGGTGTAGTGGGTTAGGTTTAGTGGAGTAGGTGAGATGGTAGTGGTGTAGTGGGTTAGGTTTAGTGGAGTAGGTGAGATGGTAGTGGTGTAGTGGGTTAGGTTTAGTGGAGTAGGTGAGATGGTAGTGGTGTAGTGGGTTAGGTTTAGTGGAGTAGGTGAGATGGTAGTGGTGTAGTGGGTTAGGTTTAGTGGAGTAGGTGAGATGGTAGTGGTGTAGTGGGTTAGGTTTAGTGGAGTAGGTGAGATGGTAGTGGTGTAGTGGGTTAGGTTTAGTGGAGTAGGTGAGATGGTAGTGGTGTAGTGGGTTAGGTTTAGTGGAGTAGGTGAGATGGTAGTGGTGTAGTGGGTTAGGTTTAGTGGAGTAGGTGAGATGGTAGTGGTGTAGTGGGTTAGGTTTAGTGGAGTAGGTGAGATGGTAGTGGTGTAGTGGGTTAGGTTTAGTGGAGTAGGTGAGATGGTAGTGGTGTAGTGGGTTAGGTTTAGTGGAGTAGGTGAGATGGTAGTGGTGTAGTGGGTTAGGTTTAGTGGAGTAGGTGAGATGGTAGTGGTGTAGTGGGTTAGGTTTAGTGGAGTAGGTGAGATGGTAGTGGTGTAGTGGGTTAGGTTTAGTGGAGTAGGTGAGATGGTAGTGGTGTAGTGGGTTAGGTTTAGTGGAGTAGGTGAGATGGTAGTGGTGTAGTGGGTTAGGTTTAGTGGAGTAGGTGAGATGGTAGTGGTGTAGTGGGTTAGGTTTAGTGGAGTAGGTGAGATGGTAGTGGTGTAGTGGGTTAGGTTTAGTGGAGTAGGTGAGATGGTAGTGGTGTAGTGGGTTAGGTTTAGTGGAGTAGGTGAGATGGTAGTGGTGTAGTGGGTTAGGTTTAGTGGAGTAGGTGAGATGGTAGTGGTGTAGTGGGTTAGGTTTAGTGGAGTAGGTGAGATGGTAGTGGTGTAGTGGGTTAGGTTTAGTCCCTCATAATAACACTTTAATGCATTAAGAACAAGCATAAAAAAAATTTCTTGAAAAGGCCAACACATATGATTATTATCAAAATATTAAACTTTAATATGATATAATAAAAAAAGGAGACATTTAATTTCTTGAAAAGTCCAACACATATGATTATTATCAAAATATTAAACTTTAATATAATATAAAAAGGGGAAAAGAAGACATTTAAAAAAAAAATATTTAAAAATCGCAATTCACATATATAGATAATTATAAATATATTAAGAAAAATGGGGTTTCTAAACCCCAAGCCTTGTGGGAGCTCCAATCTCCCAATCTAAATTTCCTGATTTTTA